GCGAGGTGGCCTGCAGAGCGTCCGAAGACGAAGTGGGCAGAGTAGAGGTTGAGTAGCCATACCCAGCAGGGCTGAGCGGCCATAGCCGCCGTAGGTGATAGGCGAGTGTGGTGTGTGCGTGTGTGTGAGACAGTGTGTCGCGTGTGGGATATCCAGGGTGATCCTTAGTTGAGTGTGTGTGAACAGCGGGGTTAAGCACAGTGGCGAACAGAGAGTTGTACAGGCGCTGATGCGCCACAGCCTGTTGAAGCGAGCATGTATCTGAACTATGTTTCCGACTTCCATATCTCTGCTCTTTGAGTGGGCGCTGAGCGCCAGTGTGACTTGTCATCTGTTTGCATGAATGCGAAGTGGAAGAGAAAGCGAGTCTGATTGCAGATGACAGAGTGCAAAAAAAAGATGTATCTATCTATTTATGTTTATGAATGTGTGTGCTTGCATGCATGTTTGTCAGCGTATGCATGGAGGTGTTGTAACGAACCTCCTTCATGTATGCATGTGTATGCGTGCAAGAAAAAAGAACTGTATGGATGACAGAGTGAAACAGAAAACAAGCGTATTTGTATACAGATTTATATAACTTTTTAGGTATGCATTTACAGGTCTTTTCTGATGGCTTTCTTCACATGAGCGTCTTTGATAAAGCGGTCACTGGCTGTTGTTTTCACTGGGCACTTGACCAGATTTGAACAAATCTGTAACAATTGGAGGGAAGTTCAAACTGCGGCAACAACACTTGCTTGTCGCATGCTTTCTCGTGGCCATCCCCCGCCAGCCCTTGCTACATGCACTCGCACCAATCTGGCTATCCTACACATGTGACGCATCTCTCTCAGTGGTTCGGACGCATGCGGCAATGGTCCCTGTATCATCCACCTTCTTCTTTGCCCCCACAGCGCTCTCGTCATGCCCCTGATTGCTCATACGCTGCTACTGCAGTTTCCAACGCTGCAGTTTGCTGCAGTTTCCACTGCTACAGTTGCTACTGCTCCCGTTTTCACTCCGGCAGTTTTTTTTTTGTTTTTTTTTTTTTTTT